CACACAAACACACACACACGTGTTGTATTGACACCTAGAAACCTCCATACCTCTTGAATATATAACTTTTTATGGCAGCGCTTTAGGTATTTTTTGGGGGGCAAAGGCGGTTTGCTTTTTGAGTGGTTTCTGCCTTATCTTCCTCAGGTGACAGGTGATGAGTGAACCAGGTCGCATGCAGTGCAAATCTGCGGACTTCTTCCTCCACCCCCCTGAAACCCATGAACATTGGTTCCCTGATTGTGTCTGGTGCCATTCGTCTGATCATCCCCAAAGCAGCAGAATTTGAATTCAGCTCAAGCAGGTTCGGAATGCACTGTGCTTCCAAAACAAATGGTAAAATCCTAGTAAAATGCCACCAACAGGATGTTTCTTCTACATACCTTGTTTGGATTTTTACAACTAGGATCATGGGTACTTGCCTTACAGAAGAGAACAGATGTTATGCATTCTATACTTCCAACCACACTTCCAACGCTTCCTGGCTCCACCCACCCAGTACCCATCCCTTCCTTCCTGTACTTCATTAGGTTTTTTGTTTGTTTATGTATTTATTTATTTATTTTGACAGGCAGAGTGGACAGTGAGAGAGACAGAGAGAAAGGTCTTTCTTTGCCGTTGGTTCACCCTCCAATGGCCGCCACGGCTGGTGCACTGTGGCCGGCGTACCGCGCTGATCCGATGGCGGGAGCCAGGTGCTTATCCTGGTCTCTCATGGGGTGCAGGGCCCAAGGACTTGGGCCATCCTCCACTGCACTCCCTGGCCACAGCAGAGAGCTGGCCTGGAAGAGGGGCAACCGGGACAGAATACGATGCCCCGACCAGGACTAGAACCTGGTGTGCTGGCGCCGCAAGGTGGAGGATTAGCCTAGTGAGCCATGGCTCTGGCCCTACTTCATTAGGTTTTGCAGAAACATAGTTTTAATCCACTCTGAAGTCACAGACTCATTTCACCATTAATCATAATAGTCAATAAGTAGTAAGTAGGAAGATTTGCCTGGCCTGTGGCTGAGCAGGTAAGTGGTAGCCTGCAGGATCCATTCGATCCTGGCTGCTCAACTTCCAATAAAGTTCCTTGCTAATGGGCCTGGGAAGAATAGCAGAATATGTCCCATGTCCTGGGACCCTGGCAACCACGTGGGGAACCCAGAGGAAGCTTGCTTTCGCCCAAGCCGTGGCCATTGTTTCCATTTGGGGTATGAGCCAGTGAAGGAAGACCACACACTGTCTCTGCTTGTGCCTCACCAGTGTCAGTTACCCAACTTTCAAAGCAGCTTCCTTGTAAGGTGCCTGAGAAAACAGCAGAGAATGACCCAAGAACTTGGGCCCAAGCAATTCCACAAATATGAAATTCCTGGCTCCTGGCTGCAGCCTGGACCAACCTCAGTGATTTTGGCAATTTAGGGAAGAAACCAGCAGATGAAATATCTCTCTCCTTCATTCTGCATTTCAAATGAATACATAAATGTTTAAAAATAAATAACACAGTAACTACCCAAAAAGCCATAAATAGGATTGATAGCTAAATTCATAAACAATAAACCAAAAATTGGTAACAGAAAGTAAAGTCGGGCTGGTGCTGTGGCACAGCGGGTTAACACCCTGGCCTTAAGTGCCGGCATCCTATATGGGCGGTGATTTGAGACCCGGCTACTCCACTTCTGATCTGGCTCTCTGCTGTGGTCTGGGATAGAATTAGAGGGTGGCCCAAGTCCTTGGGCACCTGCACCTGCATGGGAGACCTGGAAAAGCTTCTGGCTTCTGGATTCAGAGTGGCACAGTGCTGGCCATTGTGGCCAATTGGGGAGTGAACCATCAGATGGAAGACTTCTCTCTCTCTCTCTGCGCCTCTCCTCTCTCTGTGTAGCTCTGACTTTCAAATAAATAAATAAAATATTCAAAAAAAGTAAAGTCAAACATCAAGTCTTGAATAATAAAATTAGGAAATTCATAGTGAAATCATGATTACCACCAGCTGCGTGGAGACTAACTTCTGATGACGTCATCCTGAAGTTTACTTTCTGACGTTTAGCTTGGGAAAATGCAATACTGTGATTTGAGTGGCAAACATCATCATTTGCCACATTGAAAATATGTGAAAAATATTTGGTGTCCTTACACAGTCCTTGAATGTTGGAGATAATTAGTGGGGAAGATGCATCACTGAATGAACCTGAATTGTGAATCCCTAAAAAGCAACTCTAACTGTGTGTGTGTGTGCACACATGTGTAAAGTGTAATCAGCCGGAGACACTGGGTCATATCCCCACCCTTGGCATATGACTTTTTTTTTAAAAAAGATTTATTTATTTATTGAAAGGCAAAGTTACAGAGAGAGAGAAAAAGATAGGGGCAGCGAGAGAGAGAGAGAGTGAGAGAGAGGTCTTCCATCTATGGTTCACTCCCCAGATGGCTGCAATGGCTGGAGCTGTGCTGATCCAATGCCAGGAGCTTCCTTTCATTCTCCCACGTGGGTACAGAGGTCCAAGGACTTGGGCCTTCTTCCACTATTTTACCAGGCCATAGCAGAGGGCTGGATCAGAAGTGGAACAGCTGGGACTCGATGCTCTGAGATGCCGGCACTTCCGGCGGTGGCTTTACTTGCTACGCCACAGCGCCGGCCCCAGCATGTGACTTGTATCTGGGTGTGGGTATTGAATTCTGAAATGGAGCTGTTCCCTCTGAGCACAGGTGCAGCCTCTGTGGAGGGCAGTGGGCTGGAAATTGAATAAATGTATAGGAAATCAGCCAAAGCTAATATGTCAGAATGAGTAGCTTGGGAGAAAGAGGGGCATGTTTATTTTAGGAGCAGGTGGAAGTGTTCAGAATTATCGAAAGAGTGCTATTAACCAAGCTGCTTTGCATGTATACATTTCATTTTCTCACTTCCTGTAGTTTGCATCCTGTTAGGTGGAAGGTCCGGAAGGTTCTGGGAGGAAGGTCATTCTTACATGGAGTCACACACATTTTAACAGACAGGTGGAGTCCACAGCAATCCGTGGGTGCCCAGCCTCAGCTGAAACTCAGTGCGAGGGCGGCTGGGGGAGGAGAGAATGTATTTTTCCGGACTCAGCTCCAGGGCTCCACCAAGTCACAGACTGGGATGATTGCCACCAGCTGCGTGGAGACGAACTTCTGATGACATGTGTCATCCTGAAGTTTACTTTCTGACGCTGCTCAGCTGGGGAAAACGCAGCCCCAAGCGCCAACTCCACGCTGCCCCTGAGGAAACCCCGTGCGTCCCCCAGGAGACTCATTGTGGGTCTGGGAGGGCGATTTGGGGTCTCCCAGGGGCGTCAAAGTGACGACGATAAACAGGGTGGTGGAGGCAGCGGTGACAAGGTGACCGGTGTCCACCGGGAGGAGACGTCCCGCCAGCCCAGGCCTGATCCACAGTCAGTGCCGGGCAGCCCCAGCCTGTGCAGGAAGCCCCCAGTAAGGACCCTGCACCCCCAGCCTGGGGCGGGAGGGCGGCGAGGCCTCTCCCCCTGCCCGCTCCCCGCTCTGTGTCTGTTCCAGGGTCTCCCTGGTTTTTTTTTTTTTTTTTTTCAGATGTGTCCTGCTAACACTGTTTTCCTGTACCGTGTTGTTTCTCTGTCCATCGCTCTATTTGTTTTCACCTCTTCCTTCTTTACACCGAGGGTCTCTGAAGCTCTCCAGATCGCTCGCTGTCCTGTGTGCACCGAGTGTTCTTTGCTTTTCCGCTGTGCGCTCCTCTTTGCTCTGAACACCTCAGTGGTCCTTATTCCATTGCAAGTTCTGTACCTGGAAATCCATCTTGTTACTTCCCATTCTGTTCCGTCCTGTTGTTTCATCATTGCATTTTGTTACTTCCCTATCAAGTGAATGGATCCACATTTTAATTTTAAGGGATTTGTATTTAGATAATCTTATATCATCAGAAATGGATATTTCTGATGATATAAGATTGGAGATTTTGCATTTTTTCTCATCTGTGATTTGAATTTGATGTTTATCATGGTTGTGTTGAATAGTATCAATTATAGGAACTCAAATGTTTTTTTTTTAAATGGTGTATATATTGACTTAGCGCTCAGTAACCTTGAAAATTCCTCGAATTAGAGCAGGTGTGTGATTCTTCTCATATGGGTGCTAGTTTAAGTCCTGGCTGCTCCCCTCCTGGTCCAGCTCCCTGTTGGTGCTGAAGGTGGCCTAAGTGCTTGGGTCCCTCTGCCAGACCCTATACTGGGGTAGGAGACAGACAGGGTGGAGCTCCTGGCTCCTGGCTTCAGCCTGGCCCAACCTCAGCTGTTGCAGTCATTTGGGGAGGGAGCCAGCTGATGGGAGACCTCTCTCTCTGCCTCTCTCTGTCACTGTCTTTCTGGAACTCTACCTTTCAAATAAGGAAAATAAATCTTTAATAAAAAGAATTTCTCAAATTGTTTAGGTAATTTCACCAATGATTCTATTAATTCCTGTCTTAAAATTTATAACAGCTCAGAATAAAATCTGCTAATTCCTTTGTAGTGTTTAAAATTTTATTCTTCCTAAGATGACCCCTCTGAATGCATGAGGAAGAGAAGTGAGATAGTAGATGTTTTATTTATATTCAATCTCAACACAAAAACTTTCAATATTTAGTGATCATGTTTAATATTGATGTGTAGATATTTTATCATGTAGTGTTAAGCCTTTCTTTCTGCCATGTGACATCAATCTTAAGCATTTCCCGGGGTGATTCTCTTGGTCATTGCTAGACCCCATTTGGAGAGCGCTGGATTTATTTCTACAAACAAATTCTGGGGTGGTTTCTTATTTGCTTCCTGAACTAGATGGCCTCATCATCATACTTCTCATACCAGGTTTATTTGGTTTTCCCGCACTGTGATTGACAGAGTGCTCCCTTTCTCTCCCTAGGAAGTGTTTATAGATGTTTTTGTCCCACATCATTGAAGCATTCTCTGGAATTCCTCGTGGAATGATTTTTTTCCTGCTGCTCAGTTTTTTCATGGGAAGCTTTGCACATTTGTGACTTTCTACAGTTCTCATGTTTCTATGGTGAGGTAAGTTTTCTGAGAGTTTCCGAGTGTGTCTCAACCTTCCACATTTATTAGCATAGTCATGATGTCATTTTTAAAATATGAAAATTCTTAGTTGTTATGTTTTAAATATTTGAAGTCTGCTATTATTGGTGTTTTCTGCTTAGGAAGGCAACCATCTCTCTGGAGGGTGTTTAATTTTGTTAGTCTTTAGAAAAATGGCATTTTGACTTTATTTTTCCACAGTGCATTTTACAATAGATTTTTCCACTTTGTTCTTACTATGAAATGCTTTCCTTCTGAACATAGTGTTAAAATAAAATGTTCTTTTATTTTTGTAATTATGCATAATAATTTAAGATAACTTATTCAATTCTTCAGCTTTGCTCTCATTCATGTCAGTGTTTGCTGTATGGCTGCATTGATTACATGGTGCACATGATAGCAGAGAAGGAGAGTCAGGCATTTGACAGTGACTTGTGTGTTGGTCAAGGCATTAGGTGCAGCAAATGAATTCACATGCTCGAGTTTTTAAAGTCTGGCCATCTGTCTGCTGGTTCCATGGTTACTGAAGGACTTTGGTTAAATCTCCTACTACAATGGTGGATTTTCTTGTTGTTGTTGTTTTTTTTTAAATCATTTCTTTGTGCTTATGTTAAATATTGATGCCATTTTTAGTATTTACAAATTTATTTTTACCAAAGTGGATTTCATGATATCCAGCTATTCTGTTCCCTAAATGTTGGATCTGTCCAATGTTATACTGTGTGCACCTGCTTTCTGTTACTTGGTTGGTAGTTTTACAGCTTCTTTTTCTTTGTTTTGAAACTTTCTCTTCCTTCCTAATTCCAGTTAATTCAGAAGACATTTGTCTTTGTCTTGAAGTTCAGTTTGTCTTATTTTTATATGGATACTCCAATGTCTACAAATTAATATTGGCCCCAAATATCATGTCCTGGTCAGTCACTTTAGGACTATATGTGCTTTTGTATTTACAGTGTGAATGCCATGGACAGTGCATAGCTGGGATGTGATATTTTTGACTCTTGCATTCTCTGCATTTGCTTGGTGGATTTAGCCCATTTTCATTAACCTTTCAGCTTTATTGTGATATAATTGATGAATAAAATCTTGTATTTTTAGCTAATATATTGGGATGTTTTGATACACATCTGTAATGGTTTCTTCCTCTAAGTTAATTAATGTTAACACTCACCTAGAAAACTTTGTGTGCATGCTGAGAGCTTGTAAGACCTATGATGTCAGCAAAATTCAATGGTAGAATACAGTATTATCAACTGTATTCATCCCATGTTACTTTAGCTATCCAGGATTTTTTTATAACAAATATTCAGGTTATTTGAAACAATTCCATTTCAAAACTTTTAAGTTACAGCAGTCACAGAAAAAATGGGATAGAAACAATAGAAGAATGACCAGGAGTACTGTATTTACTGTATTTTTAACACTGTCATGGCTTTATTCAAAACACAGTTGTACAAAAGTATTAACTTCAGAATTTTTAAGGAGAGATTCTTGAGGAACTTAACACACTGCCTACATACTGTCATGCAAAGAGAATTAAAGTAGGACCAAAAATGTCTACAAAATACAAAACTCACCCTTACTTGGTTGCCTAAAAATACCACCCACAAAACTACTAAGTCTTAAAAGTTATCTGGAGACTCTAGGTGTTGTTTTCAAACCAAAGAACTCTTAATTTTGATTGCACAATATGATGATTTATAAGAAAGTCAATATGTAGATTTCATTTAAAAAATTATAATCTGCATAGTATTCAATGAGAATTGTTAAACACTAAAACAGGGCATTTCAACTCTGAAAATTAGGAGGAAAATATGAAAGTCTTTTGGAAGAGTTCAATCCCCCCACTAAACTTATCCCAAGTGTTTTATTTCAGTCAGTTGTGCAACTTTTTTAGTTTCTCCACAAATAACTTCACTTTTACTTTAAAACATAAAGCATACATTTTAAACTAATAAAGTAGCAGAAAAAGTATACTCAGTAATTTAAATGTGTCCCAGTATTGAAGCATAATTTCAATTAATATGATGAAACTTCAAAAACTTACAAATATTCAAACAAACTTTTAGATAATTGAAGTTAAAAAAAACAACTGTCTTGAACATGGAGCCTCAGTGACAAAAAGGGAAATGCACTTGTCTACTCATTAAACTTTATTTAGTCGCCATGTAAGGAAACAAACACTCACACTTATCCCAAAAATTTTGAATTTTTAATGAACATCCACTTGAAAGCAAGTCAATTTACTATCTATTTAATTTAAAATATTTTTCCAGCTGCCTATTGTATATCAATTAAATGCCATATCCACAATGCTTTAAAACTACAGGAAAAATAATTAAAGGTTCTATTCAGTCCTATCAATACTTTGCAGAGTGATATTCAAATCACTTGAGAAGGCAACTTAAAAATTTCATTTGAACATCTCATAATGATCAACAGGCAATTTTCTGACTTCTAAAGAACACTAACATTGCTCCCAAAAGCCTCCTCTGCTTTTCTTTCTTCATCCTACTATTACAGTTTCACATGTTATCAACCAAGAAATGCAGTCTGAGGTGTTGTCAATCAAGAAAGATTAATGTAAGCAGAGCTTGTTGCATAAAATTACATCAATAATAATACCTGTGTCTCAGAAAATAGTCAATTTCTTTTCATTTCCTTGTTTAAAACTCAGGTCTGAAAAGGGAGGTGAGGTTTAAAACTAAAAGTTTTCCTGGGTATCTCCACAAGTTTCCTACTTTATTTTGGGATAAAGGGAGGGAGCAAAACATTGAGAAAAGGTGATCATAATGGAATTGTTGGGAGACAAAAGAATGCTCACAGCTAGAAACAAAAACTGGCCAAGCATTGGCATGTTGTGATCTGCAGCCCAGTAAAGGGCTCACCACACATGTGAGCGACTCATCCTTCAAAGATAAAATCTTGGGGCCGGCGCCATGGCTCACTTGGTTAATCCTCCACTTACGGTGCCGGCATCACATACAGGTGCCGGATTCTGTCCTGGTTGCTCCTCTTCCAGTCCAGCTCTCTGCTGTAGCCCAGGAAGGCAGTGAAAGATGGCCCAAGTCCTTGGGCCTCTGCACCCGCATGGCAGACTGGGAGGAAGTACCTGGCTCCTGGCTTCGGACCAGCGCAGCGCCGGCCACAGCAGCCATTTGGGGAGTGAACCAATGGAAGGAAGACCTTAAATAAAAAAAAAATCTTACCACTCACAACAAAACTCATGGACTATATTGTTGAACAGAACCTCCACACAACCCATGAACTAGATTGCTGAATAGAACCTTTACTATTCTGCTCCTCCTTTCCAAGTTACTCTTGTGACAAAAAAGCACCCAAATGTCTTAGCCCAAAAGCAAGTCATTTCCTTCAACTAAAGATCTCTGGATCACTTCTAAAAAAACCAACTTATTTTAGTGACTATTGTTATGTCATATTACAACTGAGTGTAATCTTAGTTAATTTATAAATAACTTTAAAACCTTATGAATGAAATGCACCAAACTACACCTGTGTAAAAGCGATCATGTTTTAATTATAAGCTAAAAAATGACTGATAGAGTGAGCATGAATTAGAGAAATTAAGATTCTAAATAAATTGCTAGGGAATTTCACAATGGGGGCCACAGAAAATTATTCTCCACATACAATATGATCATTAATATACTAGTACTCTTATTTGGAGTGATAAGGCAAAAATAGTAAAACAACACTTCTCCTGTAAAAAGTTACACTTTCTCTTCTGAAGGGACAGAGAAACAGAAGAAGCGATCATTCCATTGCACACCCAGGAACATTAGGGACTCTGTCTCAGAATGATCTAGTCATCTTCTTCTTCTTCATCATCTTCAGCATCTCGTTTCCTCTTCTCCCCTAGAAGATACTCTTCATCTTCCTCCTCTTCTTCTTCGACATAGTCATCATCATCTTCATCCTGAATTTCATCTTTCATTAAGTATGAGAGGCCCACTTCTTCTCCCTCTCCCAATTCTGAGCCTGCTTCATCCTCATCCTACTCTTCTTCCTCAAATCCTTCAGGTGGACCAGCTTCATCTTCTTTCTCATCATCATCTTCATCACCGTCCTCATCGTCCTCTTCTTCAGGGTCTGGGGCTTCATTATCCTCCTGATCAAACCAATCCAAGTACATGATTTGCTGCAGCAGTGCAAAAATGCTTCCTCTGTAATCTTCCAGTGCGGGGCATGAGGGTGGCCATGGCACGGCTCATGGGGAGGTAGCGGTACCGGCCCTGGGGAGGGCGGCGTGGCCATGGCCTGGCGATGGCGCCGTGCCTGCGTCTCGCTGTTGCCCTCATGGGCCTGCACACGCTCAAGGCTCCCGATGGACCCCGCGCTGGAACCGGGCCTGGAGCTGGCACCCTTTGAGTGGCAGCTGGAGGGGGCCGGGGCCTGGCGCCTAGTGCCTGGGCCCCTGCTGCACCTGCTGCACCGCGGAGCTGGGCAGCCCCCCGGGGCTGGCAGCCCTGACAGAAGAAAGGCTGCGGAGCGCCATCCTCCTGGCCGCGTGGAGCTGCAGGTGCTGCGGGAGGTGGCTACCAGGCGAGGCCAGCGGAGAGGACCCCCCCCAATGAGTCCACTGTCGACTGGCACTCAGTCTGGGTGCGCGGCCCCCCGGCGGCGTGTGACCCCGGGCGTAAGTGGTTCTGGGGACCCCGAGGCTGCTTAGAGGCACTCCGCCTGGGCCATTATGAAGCCCGCAGCACTGGCCAAAGCAGCATCTCCGCCGAGGGGGGCCGGCCTGAGGGCTCCTTCGGCAGTAGGGAAGGGGAGAAGGCGAGCTGCAGAGGTCGCTTTGCAGGGAGTGGAGGACTTGGAGGGCCCGGACCCCTGCCCGCTGTCCTCGGATCGCCTAGCGACCAGGACACAGTTCACCTCCCCCATCCCCGACATCGAAGCAAAGCTGTCATCTGGGGAAACCTGGTCCCTTCAGCCATGAAGGCAGAGACAGCACCCCA